CTCCACTTCTTGACCTGTTTTATTCAGATTTGATCTTCCATTAAGCTGCTGGATGTTGTGCTTGCTGCTTGCTAGCTGCTGCTCTTTGAATGCCTGTAGATTGTAGTAGTAGTGTACTAGACTACTAGTGTAGTACTGCTTGTCTGCTTCAGTGCTTCTTTTTCCTAGCTTAATATCATCCTGCTCATGAATGCTTGTAGAGCATGTCATCTGGGAGTGGCACAGCTGGGTTATGTCTTCAACTCTTCTAATCTTCTTTACTGTTCGATGTGTTTTGCAAGATGCAACTTGCAATGACATGGGGGGACAAGAATCAATCAAGCACTTGATAAAAGAGACACAACCGAATGGGGGCAGTATCTCTATTCTAATCTTTTTCTCCTTTATTTTCTGTATTAACTCTATATTACATGACATATTTTTATTTTATTTTATATATGCTCACCGTATCCCCGAATGACTGTATTTGGAAAATGCCGTATCCCGTATCCCTGTATGCGTATCCCCAACTTTCCGTCCACGTGTCCGTGCTTTTTAGCCTATGGGTAACAATGAAAGAATACTACTGCTATAAATTCCATACACGACCAGGCATATTCAACCCAATTTTGCATGGCGGACGCCTTTTCCAGCAGTTTGCTGTAGATACATACAACAAGATTGAAAGCTCCAGACTGGATTACATCTGGCATAATCAAAAGAAAATAAGGGCTGACCTATACCAAGGCCTTCTAGACAGCATTCAAGCTGGAGAACAGAATGGAGATGCTGTCGGAAAACAGAGAGTACTTGCCTCGTCATTTATTGGAAGACCACGAGATAAACTTCGTCGATATCTCGACGCTATGGCTTTAGTTAGAAAATATGGTAAGCCAGACGTATTCCTAACAATGACCTGCAACCCCAACTGGGAGGAGATAACACATGAACTAGAGAATGGACAAACAGCACAAGATCGCCCAGACATTGTAGTTCGTGTTTTCAGGGCGAAGCTACAAGAAATGAAGAAGGAACTATTTGAGAAGGGCATTCTTGGAAAGGTTCAGGCATATACATATGTCGTAGAGTTCCAAAAGAGGGGATTACCCCATGCTCACTTTTTGCTCATCATGACTCGAAAATACAAGTACACATGTCCAGAGCAGTATGACAGAATCATATCCGCAGAGCTCCCTAACAAGCACAAGTACCCAGAACTATACAAGATGGTAATCAAACATATGATGCATGGTCCTTGCGGTGCATTGAACAAATTTTGTCCATGCTCAAAGAATCGTCCATCATGCAAGAACAATTATCCAAGACCATTTAACGAAACTACGATTCAAGGCAAGGACTACCCAATATATAGGAGACGCAACGATGGCCGGACTGAAACGGTCCGAAATTGCAAACTAGATAACATGTGGGTAGTTCCTTACAATCCCTATCTGTTAAGGATGTTCAACTGCCACATAAATGTTGAGATATGCTCAAGCATTAAAGCCGTGAAATACCTCTTCAAGTACATCTACAAGGGTCATGACCGAGCATCCGTATCCGTAACAGACAAAGTAGACGAAGAAGAAATCGACGAGATTAAGCAGTACAGAGACGCCCACTGGGTGACACCTCCTGAAGTACTGTGGAGAATATATGGCTTCGAACTAAGTAAAATGCACCCACCAGTCTTGCAACTGCAGCTACATCTCCCAAATATGCACATGGTTTCATATCATGGCATGGAAAAATTACAGAATGTTATCGACCGTGAAGACACGGAAAGATCAATGTTGACTGCGTACTTTGAAGCAAACAGATGGTATGCAAAAGCACGAGGCATACTATACAGAGAGTTTCCGGAACATTATACTTGGCAGAGTCAGGGGAAATTTTGGCAACAGAGGAAGCGAGCCGCTGTGTTCCAGGTTGGCAGGATCGTTTCAGCACACCCAACTGAAGGAGAACGATACTATCTTCGAGTCCTCCTAAACCACGTGACAGGCGCCACCAGCTACAAAGACCTATGAACAGTCGATGGACAAGTAATGCCAACCTTTCGAGAAGCTGCAGAAAAAAGGTCTCATTGAGGCAGATATCACATTGGATGACTGCATGATAGAAGCGGAGTTGTTTCGGATGCCATCATCGCTACGACGACTATTTGCGACAATCTTGGTTTTTTGCGAGCCCAGCGACATACGCAGCCTCTGGAACAAACACCTTGATGCAATGTCAGAGGACTACAGCAGAAATTGCAAATGCAAACACACAGTCGAACAGATGGTTTTGAAAAATAGAGACATGTTGCACTCAATGGGAAAAGACATAGAATCATTTCCTCTTCCAAAGATCGACGAACAGCATGAGATGACAGACGACATACCGAGGGAGATCATTGAGGAAACATCCATCGAGGTGGAACCCGAGGACACATCTTTGCATAAGAACCTAAACAAGGAGCAGAAGGAGGCCTACGACGAAATCCTAGCAACAATTGACGACCAAAGTGGAGGTATATTCTTTGTCGATGGACCTGGAGGCATGGGAAAAACTTTTCTTTACAGGGCTCTCTTAGCCACAATACGCAGACAAGGCAAGATTGCTGTAGCGACAGCCACTTCCGGTGTTGCTGCTTCAATAATGCCCGGAGGGAGGACCGCGCAATCGAGGTTCAAGATTCCACTAAAAATAGACGAGGGGGCTGTTTGTGGATTCACAAAACAGAGTGGGACAGCCAAACTACTGAAAGCAGCATCACTAACAATCTGGGATGAAGCATCTATGACCAAGAGGCAGACAGTGGAGGCGCTAGACAGAAGCATGCGGGACATAATGGACAGGCCAGAACTTCCATTCGGAGGAAAAACAGTCGTATTTGGAGGGGATTTTAGGCAAGTGCTACCTGTTGTCCGAAAGGGAACAAGAGCCCAGATAGTAGATTCATCACTACGCAAGTCTGTCCTCTGGAATTCAATGCGTCAACTGAAGCTCGTGCGCAACATGAGGGCTCAAAACGACCCATGGTTCGCAGAATACCTACTACGCATTGGAAACGGAACCGAGGAGACAAATGATGATGGTGAAATACAACTACCTACAATTATATGTGTGCCAAATAAGACGGATGACAATAGCCTTGATAGACTCATCGACAATGTCTACAAAACGGACAATGCTTCCCTAAAAGATCCAAAGTACATCACGTCAAGAGCAATTCTATCAACAAGGAACGACTCCATAGACAAAATCAACCTAAAAATGATTGATCGTTTCCAGGGGGAGGAGATGGTGTACCACAGCTTCGATTCGGTAGAAGACGACCCACATAACTACTATCCACCAGAATTCCTAAACACTCTCACCCCAAATGGACTGCCTCCACATATGTTGAAGCTCAAATTAATTGCCCAATCATACTACTCAGAAACATCGACCCTGCTAATGGACTATGCAACGACACGAAGTTGGTCGTACGTGGATTTCAAAAAAATACAATTGACGCGAAGATTGTGGTGGGACAACACTCTGGAATGCGAGTTTCCTGCCCAGGATACCATTATGCCCCTCTGACAATGACATGTTTCCGTTCAGTTTCAAGAGGAAACAGTTTCCAGTCAAACTCAGTTTTGCAATGACAGTAAATAAATTACAAGGCCAGACAATACCAAATGCCGGCATCTACCTGCCTGAACCGGTTTTCTCACATGGTCAACTATATGTCGCACTATCTAGAGCAACCGCGACATCAAACATAAAGATACTAACAGGTACACATGATGAGAGCAAGCAGAAGAACAAAAAGACCAGCATAGACGACACATACACAAAGGGAGAGAAGAAAAAGAGAAAGAAAAAAACCAGTACAAGCGGGACATATACAAAAAATATTGTCTACAAGGAAGTCCTAACCAAATAGGTAATACAACCTTTCAATTTCTTCTTCAAAATTTCAATTACTACTTGAAAGGATCGTCATTTAAAAAAAATAAAGTGTTTATATTTCAAATTACATTCTTCATTTTCTAACCTTAAACATACTACTTGGATTCTACAGAAACATTGCAGCCAGATGACAACTTCGCAGTTAGAATTCAGAACTTCATCGTCTTCAAGGAGACAAGACTCATTTGTGTATATACAAACAATTCATGATTTCATTCTCATGTACAATGTCCTCAAGAACAAAATCATTCAAAGTTTTATTAATCATGTGTCAACCAAACTCATTGATGGTTTTGCTACAACCAACACTTTACTTTCAATTTAATTTGTGATTATATCCAACTCCCAATGCTTATATATGTGATGTACATAGACTGCTAACCCTGCTCAAACTGAAATACATCTATTTGACATTTAAAAACAACCAGAAAGAATGAATATTCATGCAAAAAGTACCACAAAGTAACAAAACAAATCACAAAGTAACAAAAGGAGAACAGGATCAGATAAAATTCTATTTTTTATGTGATTCTAAAACGACCGAAAAGCTAACCTAGACTACTGATAGTTATTTCACATATTAATTATTATCAAACAAATATTAAAACTAAATCTAATCACATGTGCTTAAGTTGGATCAATATTAATAGGGGTAGGGGGGCTAACACTGCCAATGCCGGTCCCAAGCCCGGAAAAAATTGGAGGGGCCAAAAACAAATTAACACTGCACCTTAAGATCCCACACAAAGCATGGGCTAGAATTTTATATTATACTGTCACTCTGGATTGTTGTATCAATCAGACAGATATGAACTTACTCTGTGAAGACGAAGCTGATGCTTTTTTTTGGTATACTAACATTGGTTTAAAATTTGTTCAAACACTACTCGGTGTTATTCAGAGCTAGAGCATGAAAAGAAGTTAATGTGCTTGACACATGCAGACGGGCCTGAAGAAACTGGTGGAAGAGAAATGTGTACCTGCTTGAGATGTATCCTCTTAGAAATTACTATTGGATAGTAAACATAAACTGGAACTGCACCAAGCAATTGATTTTGCCACATTGAAGAAGATGTTCAAAACAAATTTGGAGCGGAGAGCCTGCAGATTTGTACCAGAGACACTTGAACAATCAAAGAGCAAGGTGAGATTACAAAATGTAATTAATTAATCTCCATTGCAATCAGAGTGGGGAACAAAAGAGAGAAGAGGGGAAATGACACGCATTACCTTTGCAATATTGGAGGCGACGTCACGGAAGCAGGGGGGTCGAGGATGGGTGTGAAGACCAGCTCCCCGTCGCCCTTCTCGAAGAAACCGAGGACGGGGGGCCTCCGGTGGTGGGCGACGAAGCGGTGGCTGAAGGAGGGGGCGGTGGCGACGCCTCCGCATAGCTTGGAGACGAGGGAGGCGCGGAGGAGCGAGGAGGGCAGCGGGGGGACGCGGAGGAGGATCTCCCCGAGGAGGTCCTCGTCGTCCAGCGGCGCGGCCGTCGGCGGGTGGCGGCGGCGGAGGGCTATCTCGTCGCCGCCGGCCTCGTGGCTCATCTGGATGTGGATGTGGGGCTCGACTGGAGGGAGACGCTTTTTTTTAGAATACTGGAGCGAGACGCATAGGAGGGGTGAGGAATACACGGGCTGGGCTCACTTGAAAAGCTCACTGACCCTTGGATTACGGCCCAACAAACATAGAAGATACGTAGAAAAAAAACCTATGCTTTTAACCTAAAAACAATTACCTATGCTTGTTTTGAGGGTGAAAAAAAAAGATGCCTATGTTTTTTTTGTGAGGGTTAAAAAGATGTCTATGTGATTCATAATGTTAGTGTTTCTCTAGAATAACTCATGTTACAGTTTTCTCTCTAACTATTTAGGAGGACGAGCTCTACAGAGATCTCCAAGGAAGCCGGTGCTATTATCCATCGAGAAACCAAACCGGCAGCACCACACCCTAGCGAAGGCGAGCCCCGGCATCGGCCGGCGGCGTCGGTGGCGCTAGAGCCCTAGACGGGTCTGATGCATCTGTTTTTTAAGACAATACTGCGTCTGGTGTTGTGGAAGTGAGTAGACGAAAAAGCAACAGGAAGTGCTCGTGGGCTGGAATGGCCAGATGGATTCAATTAGGCCTTTACATTTTGTCCAGTCACTATTCTAACAGACCAGGAAGACCAAAGTGGGCCTAGCAAATGTAAATATCGCATCGAGCAACATTTTTTCTTCTTCTTTTCGGAAGGGGCAATTCCCCATAGCGGATTTTACCCTTTGGGCCATATGCTCCCTAATGAAAAGTAAAATCAAAATAATATTAAAAAATAAAAAATTCTAAAATTTATAGATATTCTGCTTCGACGGTGAAAAAAGTGAAACATTTCACGCCTGGAGGGCCATGGTTAGAGAATGAGGATTCATTTGGAATCTGAGAAGGGAGAGGTAGGAGACGATGGATTTTTGAACTCTAATTGTTGGCTACATGCGCAGCAACGACTCTGAGCTAGCAGCTACCAATAAAACACCTACACTCTAAATGCACCAAAACAATGGCAAAATAAATAAGAAATGAAATATAGTATTCTAAAAAACACCTTCTCAGAGAAAAAAGTAATCGTGTTTTTCTGAACAACAAAAAAATTGATTGAAAGAATATTTCATACACAACTACTATTTCATAGAATGAAATGAAAATGACGAGCTGAAATAGATCATGACAAACATGGTTAGGGTACGCTCAAATGTCAAAGTCCAAAATGAAATACTAAGTGTAACCTTATTTCTAACATTTACAATAATTAAATTAAAAAAAGTCTTGAATAATGGCATATGGAGCATGCTATATCTAAATTTTTGCCCGGTGCAACGCACGGGCATTTGTACTAGTTATTCATATAAATAGAACAATCATTATTCTCCGATTTAAATGAATAACCGTCTCGCTTCAAACAAGATCCAGATATAATGTTCATGCTCAACGCTGGCACCATATAACAATTATTCAGGTCTAAAACTAATCCCGAAGGTAGATATAGAGGTAGCGTGCCGACGGCAATCACATCGACCTTGGAATCATTTCCGACGCGCATCGTCACCTCGTCCTTAGCCAATCTTCGTTTAATCCGTAGCCCCTGTTTCGAGTTACAAATATGAGCAACATAACCAATATCAAATACTCAGGCGCTACTACGACCATTAGTAAGGTACACATCAATAACATTTATATGAAATATACCTTCCACTTGGCGCCCTTCTTGTCCGCCAAATACTTGGGGCAGTTCCGCTTCCACTGACCAGTCCCTTTGCAGTAGAAGCACGCACTTTCAGGCTTAGGTCCATACTTGGGTTTCTTCCCTTGAGCAGCAACTTGCTTGCTATTCTTCTTGAAGTTCCCCTTCTTCCCTTTGCCCTTTTTTTATTAAAACTAGTGGTCTTGTTAACTATCCATTCTTGATGCTCCTTCTTGATTTCTACCTCCGCAGCCTTTAGCATTGCGAAGAGCTCGGGAATTGTCTTTTCCATCCCTTGCATATTATAGTTCATCACAAAGCCTTTATAGCTTGATGGCAGTGATTAAAGAACTCTGTCAATGACACTATCATCAGGAAGATTAACTCCCAACTGAGCAAGTGGTTATGGTACCCAGACATTCTGAGTATGTGTTCGTTGACAAAACTATTCTCCTCCATCTTGCAGCTATAGAACTTGTTAGAGACTTCATATCTCTCAACTCGGACATTTGCTTGAAATATTAAATTCAACTCCTGGAACATCTCATATGCTCCATGACATTTAAAACGTCTTTGAAGTCCCGATTCTAAGCCGTAAATCATGGCACACTGAACTATCGAGTAGTCATCTCCAAAGCACCGTCATGATCTCCATCGTCACCGGCTTGACATCTTGATCTCCATCGTAGTGTCGTTGTCGTCTCGCCAACTATTGCTTCTATGACAATCGCTAACGTATACTGATAAAGTAAAGCAATTATATGGCGATTGCATTTCATACAATAAAGCGACAACCATAAGGCTCCTGCCAGTTGCCGTTAACTTTTACAAAAACATGATCATCTCATACAATAACTTATATCACATCATAGCTTGACCATATCACATCACAACAAGCCCTGCAAAAACAAATTTGACGTCCTCTACTTTGTTGTTGCAAGTTTTACGTGACTGCTACGGGCTTCTAGCAAGAACCGTTCTTACCTACGCATAAAAACGACAACAATTTTTCATCAAGTGTGCCGTTTTAACCTTCAACAAGGTCCGACCATAGTCAAATTCGATTCAACTAAAATTGGAGAAACAAACACTTGCCATCCACCTTTATGCAAAACAAGTTGCATGTCTGTCGGTGGAACCGGTCTCATGAACATGGTCATGTAAGGTTGGTCCGGGCCACTTCATCCAACAATACCGCCGAATCAAAATAAGACGTTGGTGGTAAGCAGTATGACTATTATCGCCGACAACTCTTTGTGTTCTACTCGTGCATATCATCTACGCATAGACCTGGCTCGGATGCCACTGTTGGGGAATGTAGCATGCAATTTAAGAAATTTTCCTATGATCACGCAAGATCTATCAAGGAGATGCATAGCAACGAGAGGGGGAGAGTGTGTCCACGTACCCTCGTTGACCGAAAGCGGAAGCGTTAGGTTAACACGATTGATGTAGTCGAACGTCTTCATGATCCAACCGATCTAGTACCGAACGTACGACACCTCCGAGTTCAGCACACGTTCAGCTCGATGACGTCCCTCGAACTCTTGATCCAGCAAAGGGGCGAGGGAGAGTTTCGTCAGCACAAGGCGTGGTGACGGTGATGGTGATGTATGTGATCCGCGTAGGGCTTCGCCTAAGCACTATGATGCTATGATCGGAGGAGTAAACGGTGGAGGGTGGCACCACACACGGCTAAGAGAACAACCGTTGTGCCTTGGGGTGCCCCTGCCCCCGTATATAAAGGAGGAGGGGAGGAGGCGGTTGGCCTATAACACCCTCGATGCGACTATATCTCCCACGTGTCGAGGCACGACTTAGAGGCATAATCGCCTTGAAGGCATTTGTCGCAAGTTAGGCAATCTTCACAACATCCCATGTAATATATAATAAAAGGGGAGATAACATAGTTGGCTTACACTCGCCACGTCAATCAAGTACATAAATAACATTACATCAACCAAACACTCATGGCCCGACTACGGCGCCAAAATAAAAGATAACCCAACATGCGACACGGCCCCGATCACCCCCAACTGGGCACCACTACTGATCATCAGGAAAGGAAACATAATAACGTTGAGAGTCTTCGTCGAACTCCCACTTGAGCTCAAACACGTCTCCTAGAGCGGAATCATCAAGCCCTGCATCTGGTGTAATAGTAATTTGTGAGCCACAGGGACTCAGCAATCTCGCACCCTCGCGATCAAGACTATTTAAGCTTATAGGTAAGGCAAGGTAAAATATGAGTGGAGCTGCAGCAAGCGACTAGCAAATATGGTGGCTAACTTATTCGCAAAAAAGAGCGAGAAGAGGAGGCAAAGCGCGAGCGAGAAACTAGAGAGTAACCTGCGCAAACATTACACCAACACCGTGTCCACTTCCCGGACTCCGCCGAGAAGAAGCCATCACGGTAACACACTTAGTTGATTCATTTTAATTGAGTTAAGGTTCAAGTTATCTACAACCGGACATTAACAAATTCCCATCTGTCCATAACCGCGGGCACGGCTTTTGAAAGTTCAAATCCCTGCAGGGGAGTCCCAACTTAGCCCATGACAAGCTCTCACGGTCAACAAAGGAATAGACCTCCTCCCAAGATGTTCCGATTAGACTCGGTATCTTGGTTCTTCAAGGCACTTCGACAGGTTAAAACAAGACCAACAACACCGCCCGAATGTGCCGACAAATCCCGATAGGAGCTGCACATATCTCTTTCTCAGGGCACACTCAGATTGTCTAAACTTCCGGTAGGCCAGCACAGAGTTGCCCCTGGTAGCCACCGGCGGCTGACAGTTTGGACCAACACTCAGAGGAGCACTGGCCCGGGGGGGGGGGGGTTTAAATAAGATGACCCTTGAGTCTGCAGAACCCAAGGGAAAGAAAATGCTAGGTGGCAAATGGTAAAACCAAGGTTGGGCATTGCTGGACAAGCTTTAATCAAGGCGAACTACCAAGGGGTTCCCATTATAACCCAACCGCGTAAGGAACGCAAAATCCGGAAACATAACACCGATATGACGGAAACTAGGACGGCAAGAGTGGAACAAAACACTAGGCGAGAGGCCGAGCCTTCCACCCTTTACCAAGTATATAGATGCATTAAGATAACATAGCAATATAATGATATCCCAATAAGTAAAAAAATGTTCCAACAAGGAACGGCCTCCAATCTTCACCTGCAACTAGCAATGCTATAAGAGGGGCTGAGCAAAGCGGTAACATAGTCAATCAACGGTTTGCTAGGACATGGTGGGTTAGAGGTTTGACATGGCAATTTGGGAGGCTTGAAAGCAAGTGGTAGGCATCGTAGCATTGGCATAGCAAAAG